CCAGTGCAGAGACCTGAGAGCTGCACTAATGTAATTATACTTCTATCTTGAATACTGCAGGTGTTTTACATCTCGGATAGAGAGCCCAGTGACAAGGCCGTTACAGTAGTCTAACCTACTGACGACAAATGCAAGAACCTCTGTTCAAGTCTATTATTACCCCTAAAATTTGTTTAATTAATGAATTAATTCTTCTTATTGAAACAGCACAACTCTCACTTTTCATATAACATAAAAATAATGAAACCCTGTTAAGCACACTCTTCTTACACATTATTCGTAGATACAGAACAATGCAGCTTAAAAGCAAATAGAAACTATCCCAGAAGTGCACCTGCTTGTACAGTAAATAATGTCCCTCATGACTCTCAATCAAATCTCTTTTTAGTCCACAGTCTCTGCTTCATTATTGCTGTGAGAAGAGGTGTCACATTTCCTATTCAAAACGGTTTAAACCAGAGACTCTCCTCTGTCACATACAGTGTACAAACCAGGAGCCACATCAGCATCTACTATACTGGACTCTGAACAACCTCTATTTAGATTATATAAAGTCAATTACAGCCTACCCATGAATGTATAGAATAGATACATAGAAACAGAGACTTTGCATCAAATTAAAGGAATTGGCTCTGATGTTACATTTAGTCGGGGTTTCTGGAGTATTTATAGTACATGAAAACCCAGAGCCACGACCTTTTAGCTGTGAGGCATGAGCGTCATACCCATTCAGCCAACATATAAACTATATTCAAATAGTAGCCAAATATAACAACATCAGCTCAACTGATATAACAATCAACCACAAAACGTACAAGTATGACTCATTCGTTTGCCCATATGGTAGCAAAACAACCTCAAAGAAGCACGAAAATACAAAAATGTGACCCAAAATAAACTTCCAGTACTATTCCTATCAAAGTGACTTGTTCATTCACATGGAGACTTCTTGAGTGAGGGACATTGCACACGTCACTCGCAACACCAGGCGTTTCATGTGCACAGCCGAGTTTCCCCTAAATCATTTAGAGAAACCTCAGCAGGGAAAACAAGAAGACCACATCAGCTACTGTGGAAGTGCAGGGATCCCTCTGTGTTATTTTTTCTCCAAGGTCACATGTGACTCATGCTTTGACTGGCAGCACTTCCATCGCTGGGCAGAGGGTCAGTGGCTACAGCCCTCTGCCCGTGTCCTGCCTGTCTTTGCCTCTCATTCAGCACAAGGTCAACAGAGGAGGGTCTAAGAGCAAAAATATTAGCACTGTCCGAGGTTCCCTGATGAAAAGACAAGGGGCTCCGGTAATAGGCTCTTTTATAAAATAGCATTTTTCTTGACACTCAAAAACACTTTGGGTGCCCTACGCCACTTTTCTCATGGACGGTCAGCTTTTTACTTGGCTAGGGTTAGGGTTACTATTTGCGGAGAGGAGAGAGGAATTCAGGTGTTTTTACTTTATTTATTTGAGGAGCGCCATTGAGATTAATCATTATCAGGGGGTCTCTTGTTACAAGGTTCCCTTACTTTGCCACCAATAGGTAAATTACTATCTTATTGATAGAAATTTACTTATTGGTAGCTCCTAACCACAGACAAATTTGGGACAACCATCCCTGGTCAGGCTTTTAAATAACAGTTTGTTAAGAAACACATATGAATAATACAGGAATAACATAGAAACATAAAAAATAATTGGCCCCATTTGTTAACAGAATAAGTATTTGTTTCTTCTACACCAGACAATGGTAAGATAGAAATGTTATTACCTTACTATGGTTTGACTGTATACTCGCAGCGTCACACATGAGGTGTTATCAGCTGTTCCTCCTACTTGTATTACGACGCGTCATGTGTGGCGTCACGAGAAGACAGAAGTATAGCGTTTAAACATGTCATGGTTTTATTTTTTTAGGAAATAGAGATAGGCACAAGAAGCTTTAGCTTCTGCCTATTTCATTTCAGACATAATGTGTATACATTTTCTATTTCCATGTAATGAATGTTAAAAATCAATCTGAATCTGAAATCTGAACGGTAATAGTCTGCAAAAACAGTTAACAGACCATACTTGATGCACGCAATTCTGGGGACTTTTCCTCTGTCAAATCCCAGGTTAATGACTTGTCTGTTTTATGTAATCCTCAACTATATATTGAGGATTTTTGTCCAAATAAACATATGTCTGCTGTCATTTCTGTTTTAGAGCTGGAGTAGTGTGAAAAATAAAAATAAAGAAACAGAAACTCTGAGGTGGACCGCAGAAAGTCGCAGGGATGAATATGAGAAGGTCATCAACCTTAACAAGGCAACATGGCTTTTGCATGTCTGTAAAACAACATCATTCAAATACAGTATGTGGCTGAAGAAAATCCATGCTGCTAAGGTCACCGGTCCCCAATGACACAAAGAAAACAAACTGACCGTAGGATAGTCTGAGCTGTAACAGGGCAAACTTTAACCACGCTTTCTCCTTCAATTGGAAATCATGCCTTTCACTGAAAACCTCAACAACACAGAGAGTGGATTAAAATAGTCCTATATGTGTGGTTAAACTTCTCAATCATCAATATTGTTTCTTTGAATGAGAGGTTTTTTGGTTTTATACAGTATGACAAATGAGCAAGAAAAATCTGTATGATTGTATGATTGTATGATGAGTAATCTTCAAACAAAGCCATGGCACCTATTGTGAGTACAAGAAACAAAACATTTCCCAAAAGAACAGGGCACATGCGTAGTACAAATATTAAATTGAACATCCCATCGTGATCGCCATGACGCTGATCTATGATGTGAAGTTGTGATCTGAGCTGACCATACACTGAGTTTACTTTAGCCCACTCTGTGTTGTTCATATGGGTGAGGAGGGAAAACAAATTGTTCTCTGACATCAGCTGTCCACATGATGGCTATAGTTCTTCCAGTGAGGCCTGTTATTGTGGCTTCTCTGTTGTGATATTCCAGGAGCTCAGTGTGACCTTCAGTTTCTACGTTTGCATTGTATTTACTCCCAATCTTCAAAGCACTGACAAGAAAGAAGCAGGGTTCACACTAGTCTGTTGAAGTCCTATTGGTTTTACATGAAGCACATCGATAGAGCATGACTGATATAAGTTGCGTCCATGTGACATCACAACACTCCACAGTGCTTATAATTTAAAAGGCAGTTTTGAGGGCAGTTGAAAGATCTATCTGTCAGCTAAGTCTGTCTGGTCTATAGCTTAAAAACCCCACAAATTATTAAAATCATTATGGATGAAAGGGTTGGAAATGTATAAACGCTGCTTCATCCAACCCCTTGTTCTTGTATGTTCATATTGTCACTGTGGATTTGTGTTGTTCATGTTCTGATATACATATCTCGATTCATTAACATGATGGCCACGTTATTCATGTTAACATTTGAGATTTGGATTGTCAAGAGTCATAATTGTCATATTTTTTCATTTGGGATCATTAATTTAATTTCATGAGTGGAGAAATAATAGATCCAAGAGCAGTTTATATATATACAGTGGGGCACAAAAGTATTTAGTCAGCCACCAATTGTGCAAGTTCTCCCACTTAAAATAATGACAGAGGTCTGTAATTTTCATCATAGGTACATTTCAACTGTGAGAGACAGAATGTGAAAAATAAATCCAGGAATTCACAATGTAGGATTTTTAAAGAATTTATTTGTAAATTATGGTGCAAAGTAAGTATTTGGTCACTTCAAACAAGGAAGATCTCTGGCTCTCACAGACCTGTAACTTCTTCTTTAAGAATCTTTTCTGTCCTCCACCTGTTACCTGTATTAATGGCACCTGTTTGAACTGGTTATCTGTATAAAAGACACCTGTCCACAGCCTCAAACAGTCAGACTCCAAACTCCACTATGACCAAGACCAAAGAGCTGTCGAAGGACACCAGGAAAAGAATTGTAGACCTGCACCAGACAGGGAAGAGTGAATCTACAATAGGCAAGCAGCTTATCAACTGTATGAGCAATTATCAGAAAATGGAAGACATACAAGACCACTGATAATCTCCCTCGATCTGGGGCTCCACGCAAGATCTCATCCCGTGGAGTCAAAATGATCATTAGAACGGTGATCAAATATCCCAGAACCACACGGGGGGACCTGGTGAATGACCTGCAGAGAGCTGGGACCAAAGTAACAAAGGTTACCATCAGTAACACACTACGACGACAGGGAATCAAATCCTGCAGTGCCAGACGTGTCCCCCTGCTGAAGCCAGTGCATGTCCAGGCCCGTCTGAAGTTTGCCAGAGAGCACATGGATGATACAGCAGAGGATTGGGAGAATGTCATGTGGTCAGATGAAACCAAAGTAGAACTGTTTGGTATAAACTCAACTTGTCGTGTTTGGAGGAAGAAGAATACTGAGTTGAACACCATACCTACTGTGAAGCATGGGGGTGGAAACGTCATGCTTTGGGGATGTTTTTCTGCTAAGGCGACAGGACGACTGATCCGTGTTAAGGAAAGAATGAATGGGGCCATGTATCGTGAGATTTTGAGCCAAAACCTCCTTCCATTGACTTGAATTTGTGTTATTGACCAAATACTTATTTTCCACCATAATTTACAAATAAATTCTTTAAAAATCCTACAATGTGAATTCCTGGATATTTTTTACACATTCTGTCTCTCACAGTTGAAGTGTACCTATGATGAAAATTACAGACCACTGTCATTATTTTAAGTGGGAGAACTTGCTCAATTGGTGGCTGACTAAATACTTTTTTGCCCCACTGTATATATATATATATATATATATATATATATATATATATATATATATATATATATATATATATATATAATTCTGATCTGAAAACTAACTGTGGGAGCAGCCAGAGGTTATTTTTAGGGCGGTGGGTGTGCTCTGCCCTCCCCGCGGACAGGGTATAAAAAGAGATCCGTGATGGAGACCCCTTCGCTTCTCACTTTTACGAACCAGAGATGAGCGCTCGGACATACAGATCCAACCCAACCATGAAACTCATAGTGGTAAGTGACAAGTCTATTTCTACTACGCGTCATTTCATTCACAAGAAGTTATTTTGCGATCGTTTCAGTCGAAGCCTCTTTGACAGATTGTACACAGGTCATTTTGCGCTTGGAGCGACAGCGTTATGTTTTTTGTGTGTGGTTTGAGAATGACAGGCTTTATGCAGGTAACTGGATGTATTTGAAGACGCGTGGCTCAGGATCCACGTGCCTGTATTTTCATCGCGAATCAAGATTAATGTAAAACGGGATCAGAATAGGAACATAACGCTGACAATTGGAGAGAATAAGCGTTTGACTCTATATCAGGTTCCTTCTGTGTGTTTATATACAAGCTGCGTCAAAACTAGTTGTATTTATTTATTCATGCATGTTATTTATTTATGGTTGTGACATTCTTCCAATAGTTGTCTAGGTCTCGGTTCCAAAAAAAGGGAATCAGTGGCAAACTGTAACAGAGATTTTGTTAATACATATTTTTTTGGCCCATTGAATGTTATTCTCTATGTTCTATTGCTGCACGCAGTAGAATAGGGCATGTGTGGATTTGCATGCATGGTTGGGCTGTACAGTTTTGCATACTCTGAACTGAACTGCAGCAACAGCCTTTTGTAAAGAAAAGAATGTCATTTTCATAATTACCTTTAATTACACTTGCAACTTACAACTCAACAACTCATGTCTATCTTCTCTATCACAATTTGTGGTGCTTCTCTGACGTCAGTTTCAAAGGGTATACTACAGTTTATGTTCGCAGTAGTATTGCAATAAACATTGAATAACATTAGTCAAAATCATTGATTATTATTCAATCATTATTGATTATTTAATGTTAGTGATTAATTTATATTGTTAATACATTCTATTCAAACATAATTTATTTGTGGAAAACATGTGATAAATGTCCTCTAATTTCCTACAGTGCAGCATTTTATGTGCATTTTTGGTAGAACCTTTCTTCTTTTTAAACTATACTAACCATTAAATAGAAGAATACACACCTAGACAGGTGTGGTTTGTGTGTCTGCTTCCCTAACCTGAGTTGCTCTCATTGGCCCATGGGTTTTGCCTAAAGACCAGAAACAGCAGGTGAGGAAGTTTGTGAAAAGCCAACAGACAAAGAGAGGCGTGTAAAGATCAACAAAGTCCAAACGTTTAGTTTTACCTGTGGAAGTTACTGCTGACTTCCTCTTTTGGATCAACAGTGGAACTGATAACAGCGCTTTGTGAACCTGCAGAATGCAGCAGTTGTGACAATAGGAATTTGTGCAATTGATTGGTATATGTGCAATTGCAATCAGATTAGCTTGATAATTCAACAGTAATTATTCATTTTACTAACTAAAAACACCAGTCAACCTAACCATAAAATTGGAATTGCAGTGGCTAAAACCTGTAGACCTGTATTTGGTTGACTTGAAGTGAACTGATTTGACATTAGGCACACATGCATGTGCACACACAAACACACAGAGCTGGAATCTCCCTGAAGACCACCTGCGCTCTACAGTTAACTGAAGCCATGTGCCCCTGGTGAACTGCATGCTGTTTAGGCCCGTGTCTTTTGTCATAGATTTATGTCTGACTCACCGCAAACCTACAGGCTAATTGTAATAAAAAATACTTCTTTTATGAAAACTGTTGAATCAACAATGGTTTGCATTTCTGTTCGGTTAAGCTCTTTGTCTGAACTGGTTTAATATTTACATTCTGTTTGAAAGTTTCATTATTAATATCTCCTTATTTTACTAATTGCACTATGACTGTATCTGAGCAGCTGTGAGGATTCTCATGGTGTAATTTTGGTTGTCGGTGGTCACTGGTGGCTGTGTAATTGGGGTTTCCAGTGGTCAGCAATGTGGTTAAATCACAGCTTCTATGGCAAAAGTGTGAAAACATAAATTAGACTCACCAGATACAGATAGGGCTCAGGTCTCAAGACTTTTAGATATTTACACTTGAAGATTACTGATGGTATATTTGATGTATTAATGTTATGGGGCATATTGAAGTAAATCGGACGCCTCCTGACTATGGTGCATATTGTCTTTGACATTGATTGGTCAAGGGTTTAATGGTGTATATGTAGACTTAAGAGCATTGCGGGTGATTCCTGCTGAGGCCACCCACTTCTGTGCCTCAGGATGAATGAGTTTTGCTGAATGTTAGCCCAAAGGCTGGTACTTCAGCGAGAAAAGCGAGTCTTAGGCCAGGCTTTTTGAAGCTTCAAAGTTTCATGGTGAAAGGCATTGATCTATTTTTTTCTAATTCTATGGCCATGATTACAGATGATAAAATCAATCTTACAGTCAATCAAACCATCAAACAATGTGAACCATACAACTGCTTGGTTATTTATTTAACAGATTGTTTGATGGAAGGAAATTATTTTCAAATGAACAGACAAAAGACATTATCCTGATTATTTTTCACACATGCGTTTGTATAGACAAGGCTTTGTTGTGGCGGCAAAGAGGAGATTGATGCATACAATAGTGTTTAGTGAATAAACCATCACATACAGTCCCTATGTTTTGTATTGTGGTGGTGATGGGGAAAGCCCAGTAACCTCCAACAGTTTTCTTTATGAACAGCGGGCAGCAGTGGAGACCGCAGGATGTAACACAAACGCCAAGGGAGGCTGTAACTGGATCTGAAGTCAAGGCAAAAATGCACACAGGCATCGTGGCACATTCCTGCTCTGCTGCACGCACGTCAACCATGTTTGGTTAATGTAACAATATCAATCCATTCAGCTAAAGATGCACACAAACCTGGTGAAAGAACAGACCACAGGCCTGCGCACACAAGCATGCACAGACTATTGTTAGTTTGTCCAACACTCCGTTGGCTCAGCGGACTTCCCCGTTGGGGAGTCCGCTGAGCCAACGGGCTACGGCTCGTTGTGTCACATCTGGCACCCATGTGGCCTAGGACAGCTGCATGGCCTTATGTCAAACATGCTTTGCAACTGATAGCTACACTTTAGGTTTGGATAAGGTTTTGGGGTTTCTACTCAATAATGATGCATGGGCTTGTTTTTGAGGCAATTTCTACATATGTCCGTCTCAGATCATCAGTAAAGGCCACCCACTCTACAGCAGTGGTACTGGACTACTTTATAGTGGGACACATGTAAGGGAGGGCGCGGTAAGCTTCTGTTCAAAGGCACTCACTCTGTAGTAAAAGCTACTATAATTGTAAAAATAGACAGCGCCATATGACTGTGTGCCAAGAAAAGAAAAGAGATATGATCAAAAACTGTTAACACTGCAAATATTTCCAACTATTATGTAATAGAATTGCATTTCTATGAAGAAAAATAACTTACACGGTTGAGAATGTGGTTGAACATTCTTCAGAACATTCTTCATATCAGGACAGAACGCTGCAAAACAAAGGAAATATATTTTGTTCATCCACAAAAATCCCCAACTTTTCTGACTGTTCATCCTAAACGGGTCTAACCACCACAATCCCCCCAGTGTGTGATTTCTTCTGAAAATGATCGTTTCTCTTGTTTCAGCTCATCACTGCCTCTTTGTCCTGGGCCTTCCAGCCGCACGAGAGACCCAAGTATCAGCACTGGGACCCGGAGACTTCAGACCTCCTGCTGTGTGACCAGTGTCCCCCTGGCACAGCCGTCAAGCACCACTGTACGGCCCACACTCCCACCGTGTGCCAGGCTTGTCCAGAAAGGCACTTCACCAAGAACTGGAACTGGGGAGACAAGTGCCAGCACTGCACCTCTGTGAGTGATACACTTCAGCATCTGATGCATTTCTCTTACATGACTGCGCGCAACTTTAATAACATCCCATAATGTGTCTAAGAGCTATTACTAATAATGATAGGTATAATACCTTTTTTCAAAAAGGCAAATGGCACTCACAAACACACTCATTCAACCCTGAACTATTGTACATGATTTATTGGTAGGGTAAACCGCAAACCAGCACAAAGAGAAAATCTATGCTGACACAGGGAGAACATGCAAACGCCACACAGAAAGGCCCTGTCTGGAGCTGGAATTGAACCCAGAATCCTCCTGTTGTTAAGCACGGGCACAAACCTGCGCCCTGCAAAGGTTTCCTTCAGGTTCTCCGGTTTCCCCTATACCACTAGAAACATATACAATTGGCAAAATCCTCTAGCTGACCAATGCACCAATGATTGGAGATATGTTCCTGGGTGCTGCACTGTAGAGACCACCCCTCCTGACAGAGGGCCTACAGCATGGGAGGATGGGAGAAATGTAGAGGACAAATTTCTCTATGGGGATAATACCTTACCCATTTCTTGGGACAGGATTTGACTGTAAGGACTGCATTTTGGGTTTTAACCATCACTTACAGAGCTGAGGCAAATGTCACTGTCGCATTTGGCACTTTTAGTGTTTCTTTAAAATGTAAGGTGCAATACAAATTATCTCTTGAAACAAGATTTTACATAGGCAGAACCCATGTAAAATCCCACTTACTTTTAGCAAATTTTTTGAACTAATTTTACGCGTGAATTTGGAGTTCTGTAGGTTCATCGCAGAATGTTTGAGTTGACTCTACATATGAGGAATACCTATTTAATTTAATATTTCACATTTCCAGGATTTGATGGTTATACTTAATCAATTGGCAGACAATGATGTTGCAAAATCCAGTTTTACCTGTATCACCACATCAATCTGCAATCTACATAGTAAATAAAATTAAAAAAATGCATTTGGATCACTTTGTGAAAATGCCATGCATCCATTTTCTTCCCCTTAATCCATTTCTGGGATGGGGGGTGGCAGTCAGAGCTGCACCCAGTCTTCACCACCTGATCCTCCTGCAGGTGGTGAGTCCACAGGAGGACGACTGATCTAGGCTGATCTAGGCCTTGATCTTTCAGTGGGGGTTTCAGGCAAAGTGGGGTTAAGTGTCTTGCCCAAGGACACAACAGCAGCAGACATCAGTGGGAGTCGTGAAGTAGATCTTGTGGTAGGCTCAAACCCATGACTGTCATGCTCAAAGGCCGATGCTCTACCAACTGAGCCACTGCTGCCCAGTGATTTATTTGTCCAAATGCGCTCAATAAAAGTATGCGTTAAAGTCACGGTAGCTGTTTGTTCTGGTGCAGGTGTGTAAGGAGCGGCAGCTGGTGAAGCAAGAGTGCAACAGCACCCATGACCAGCTCTGTGAATGTGCTCCTGGTTTCCATCTACTGGTGGAGTTCTGTATTGCACACACCACGTGCCCTCCGGGATCTGGTGCAGCTGTCTTAGGTAAAAACTACTCACTTTGCATCATGTTACCATATCATGTTAAAGTAAAAAGAACTTCTTTAAAAGTGAGTTAATACACAGAATACACAGGGAGAAATTGTGAAGCTGATGCAAGTTTGGTTCCCATGATAAAAGTTATTTTATGTGAACTTTTATAATGGGTGCAATGCATGGAAACACTGCTTAAAAGTAGTTTGTATTACATAAGCCTATACTTTCACATTCATATCACCTGACATCTACTTGCATCACAAATTAGTGACTTATTGTTTCAGCTGCCATGCACTTCTCTGTTTTAATGCAGGTGTCAAGGATGGCATTGTCATCTTGTTTTTTTTTTTTTTAACTACAGGACAATTCACAATATTTTTTTATTTAGTTTAGTTAGTTTAGTTTATACATTTCACAATCAATGCTATAGTGCTGTATATAAATATGTTTAATGTATATAGCGCCTTTCACAGACCAGAGTCACAAAGCGCTTTACAATTGTGGCCATTTGTCTCCCACTCCACACAGAGAAACCAATGCAGACACGGGGAGAACATGCAAACTCCACTCAGAAAGGCCCTGTTCCGACCGGGATTCAAACCCTTCTTGCTGAAAAGCAAGAATCATATGTATTATTTGCAGAAGTATTAACTAGATAATTGTAGAAACAACCAGATATTATAGAAAAATATATTGTTTAGTCCATTACATTACCTCTGACCTCATCTCTATCTTCAAACCAAAAGATTAGGTTGTATTAAATAATTAGAAAGTATTTTCCTGAAGTTCTGGACCACAGTGAACCCCTACAGAGCTGACCCAGAGAGTTTCCACACATTCCCTGTGATAAATGCAGTCCTGGTGCAGAGGGGCATTCCCCCTCATGATGTCATCATAAGCTGTGGTCAGGTCTCCTCACCACAGCATGTCTGATAAACCATTCACTCTCCTCAGACGCATCTCTGCAGCCACATTCATTCAAACTTTGCAGTAGTGACTATTTAATTTAATTCATGTAGTTTTGTGTCCGCTGTTTCTCATTATTATTCATTATTCAGCAACAATCCCTTTCCAGGAAAAAAAAAAAAATTCTTCAAAGAAAGAAAATCATCACAATAACATATTAGAATCAAGCTAAATATTTTCACAGCTGTAATACAGTTCTGCAAAAATTAAAAGATGATTAAAAGTTTCTACATATACATCTGTTGTTTGAATTGGAAAGGTTTTCAAATTGTACTATAAGAAGCTGAAACCCTTGAAATTAGAATCAAGTGAGCCTTCCGGCAGAAGGCACACTACACTGTTTCTCTCTGGTTGTTAATTATTTGTTCTTCTATCAATAAGCGTTCAAGACAAATGTTCCAGACATTATGTTATCTTTTTCTTGCAGGTAGTCCTGCGGGTGACACAGTTTGTGAGCGCTGTCATACTGGACACTTCTCTGTGGGGCACTCGTCTACAGAGCCATGCAGGCCACATCGAAACTGCTCCAGCCTGGGACTGAAAACCCTGCGCTGGGGGACCTCCACTATGGACAGTATCTGTGCTCAGGACCGGACTCCTGCCATGGATTGCAACCACCACCACTCACTGTGCCACACTGGTGGGTTAGCTCTGCAGAGACTGTCTGAAACTTTTGCCACACTCACATTTCTCATACATTTCTCAGTCTAAAGTTTTTCTGTCTGCAGCAAAAAAATAATCCCATGGCCATGATCTTTTCTTTAGGCAGGGGATTTCCTTGGTCAAGTTTTCTGTCCAAATTCTTTTCTTTACTACATTTTTGAATGTTGGAGAACCAAGGCAAAAGAAAAGCGATAGCTTACATTTTTGTGTACCCAATCTCATACAAGCCATGATGAATCAATTAGCCTCTTATCTGTCACATCCTCTCTGTACAATAACAGTGGAAACTGACTCAGTGCATTATATCTCAATGCGAGATGCAGACCCTTTATTACTCACACATTCACATAATGATTCTGGCTTTTAACCATCTCAGTAAATGTGAGGACTTTTGTGTTTGTCTATGAACTACGCCACCACAAACATCTGCATCTAATATGTTGAGAAACCCGAAGGTTTGAAGTCATATGTCGTTATCAAAAATGCAGACCAAATCTAAATAACAACTGCTTTCTTTTGGTATGATTTGAGGTTGTACACACCAACAAATGTTATTTCTTAGCTGCAGAATAATTTCACACTATAGTTCTTACAATTACAGACAGAGTAATGTTCTATACATCTCTAGAGAGGGGCACATCCTCCATTTGCCTGGTAAAGACCATATCACAAGTGAATATTTGTGCAGTTCCAAATTATTTAAGCGCACACAGAAGCATGTGCTTTTCTAGTTTTCCAGCGCACACTTGGAAAACTAGAAAAGCAGTTGCAAACCTTTGCCAGGAGGGGCAGTTCCATTATATCTGAAACCAGGAATGAGATTATCAGGATCACCTCCAGAATCAAATAATTTGTTCCTTGAGTTTTGCTGAAAATCTCATAAATAATGCATGAACCTGAACCCGTATTTTGTATTCTGATTTTTCACAGACGTTACTCTGTGTGAAGAAGCAGCCTTCCAGTCGCTGGCATCCCTGCGTCTGTCCTCTTTTCCTCTGGAGAAGATCCTGGAGCACCTTCCTGGCCGCAGAGTGGACCACAAGAGCTTAGAGCGATTGAAAAAGACTTGTTCACCTCATCAGCAGGTTTTACAGCTGCTGCGACTGTGGAGAGAGCAGAACAAGGACCAGAGTAAACTCAATGTCATTGAAGGTAACCATCCACATACTGTATAAGTAGTGTTGTAGTGTGTGAGACACTAAGGTAACATGGCTGTTCCTGTCACAGGAGTGAACCTGTGTGAGAGGAAGTTCTCTCGCTGCTCTGGGCTGAAGAACATGAGCCTGACTGACCTCATGCAGATCAGAGACAGTCTCCCTGGGGCCCGGGTCCCACAGGCGGACGTCCTGTCTACAGTTCAGACCTGCTCTCCGCGACAGTTCCTGCTGCAGCTGCTTCATCTGTGGAAGTCTCTGAACTCTGAGCTGGACCTGGCCAAAGGATTGAGCCGCAGCCTCAAAGTACTGCGCAGCCAGGGGGCGCCACGGCATCAGCTCAAAGGCCTGAGAAAGATCAGACAGATCATAGGAAAAACATCAGCCCATAAGATATATGAGAGAATGTTTGACAACATGCTGGAAGAGGATTCGTGCTTCAAAAACCACAAGCCTTTAAACGAATAAGGAGCTTTACTGAACATTCAAGGTACCCTACTGGAGGACTGAGGAACTGCAGAGAAATAATATTATGGATGCTGTAAATCTAATGGACATTTGTTATTTAAAAAGAAAGAATGAGACTTGTGCCTCCGTTTTCCTTTGTTGTCAAATTGAATTCGTAGATTGCTTGAAAGTCGCAAATATCACAATTTTATTTAAAAAACACAAAAAGGAAATATTAAATTGAGTTGTATTAACTGGATTCTGTAAACATTTAATATTTATGCAACAAGTGTAATGTAAATATTTTCTTTCTCACTTGGCGAGAAGTGATTAGGTTTCATAATGAAATAATTTTATATTTTACATTAATTTCTTTTGTTTGTTTGTCTGTAAATCCTATTTTTATATGTCAGATGAATGTACACAGGAGTGCAATTGTTTTATATTTAATTTGTTGTTTTTCTTTAAAATGGTGTTGTTTGAATACTGGATGACAATATTTTATAAAGTAATATTTGTTTAATAGTTCATATTTCATTAAGAATGCTGGGTCATGTAGATAGAGATGTACATATTATGTTAGACACCGTTATTTCTAAGCTTTTTTACTTTCTGAACAATAATATTAAAATGGAAAAACAAATGAAATGCGTCTGACAATACAATTAACACATGGTTCTGTAATAAGTAATACTGTGGTTAACTGTATGTAATATGATTAGGCCACTGGCTAATATCAGCCCAAAGGTTTAATAAAATAGAACTATATTTTTTTTACCCACACAAAATGGCTCTGTAGCATCAACCTTTCACAATACGATTAAATCAATCAGTTGTTTTGATATTAAGCATACACTACTATTGCCTCATGGTATGCAAGTTTCTCTTCCCTACACTAAAGACTATATTCAGTAATGCAGTGTTCTTTGATATTGGCATTTATATGACTGTAATTCCACTCCTTTTACGATATCCTTTACTCGTTCCACAGTGGGGAAATTTATATTTTACACACCTACACTGGAGTTTTTTTTCCTTTTTATATATTTATTGATTTGATGAGCACATACAAACAAAATAGACCCACATACATTTACAAATCAAAGGCATCAAACAACCTATACCTTCTGTAGCAGAGGTGGGAAAAGTACTTGTCTTTGGTACTTGTATAGATACTAGTTTGAAAATCAACTCTGGTAAAAGTAAAAGTATTTAAATAATTAATTCCCAGAAAGAGTTGTGTAAATGTTAAATTCTGTGAATAAATCAGACCGTGGTGTATTCATCCTATTCAAATAGTGACTCTGTGAGTAACTATTTGGGACTTTGAGCTGTGAGCTGAAAAAGATGTGACAAAGGCCAAAAATACACAAAAGTTATAGAAAAAACCTGTCAAAGAAGAACAAGAAACCAGTTGGATTTAATTGCATACTGGAAACTATGGTGATTTGAAACCCCAGCTTTGAAAACAAAAATAAAACCCTTTAAAAATAATCGTTTAACTTTGCAAAATTAGAACTTAGAAGCATGGCTAAACACAAAAAATTAAAGTAAAGTCAGGGGGGATATAAACTTGCCATCTCTGCACCACTCTACACACAACCCCATATTCGATTCTGTGAGTTCGCCTATTGGCCACTAGATGTCACTGCTAACCCACCAAACACACACGGCTCGTGCTGGTGGCCTGACCGGGCCTGGGCTCCAGAGGCTCCGGCTGTCGCATCACCGTAGGGCGGGGCTCTACTCTGACGATTGGCTGGCACTGGATAATCCTCAGATTTACGGGAGGGCCACGACCAGGGAGGATGAGCCTGAACACGGGGATTTGTATATCACCAGTGTGCAATGAATAAGGCTTTCAAGATGAAGTATGTAGACTACAGCCAGTCTATACTTTCTTTCAGCGCCTAAAATTGAAGAACAAAGAAGCGGCGATGCGCACTCGAGGAGAGCCAGTCCGGACTGCGCTGAAGGAGTGGGGCATGTAACCGACACAAGCCCACCTGACACTTGCCTCTTCACTGTGCAGGCTGCTCTGTGTGCGCAATCGAAATCCCCTTTTTACAATTTGTGGATTTTAATTCCTGAAAAATGGCTGAGGAAGTGTCAGAGGTTCCCAAAGAACTCGTGGGTAAGTCCGCACAGGCAAATCACAACCACGCGTGTCTCTCTACAACAATAACTGTGCGTGTAGTGACGTGAATATTATACAGCGTGTGCAGTACAGTCTATGATCCAGTCTCATTCAGAAATTTCAGCGTTATACACGTAGACTGTAAATGTTGTACACAGACAATGCTGTTGCACACGCGGACTCTCATACCGCTGTCACTATAGACTTTTCTTTGTGCATGTGTTCTTGAACCTTTTCTATCTTTCTTGTCATTTATGTACATGCTTTTGTGTTGTTTTTTTTGGAGAAAGGAATTGGGGCTACACACTGTTATTTGGACCCACCGCAGCAGCACTGAAGTCATCGCTTATGGCTATGGTCTGGAGGCTATATTAGGAGAAAATCCAAATAGTTTATATGATACAGTGTGGCCAGTCATTCCCAAGTGCACGCAACTTTCAGGGATATTTCCAAAAGCAGCCACATTCCTCCTGCTCCACAGTCTTTGGAGAGGTCCACACTGTTGACGGTGCTTATTTGCTTGTAGTTGTAGACATACCTCAGGCTGTTTTTGCTCACATGGACACACTGTTTGGTAAGATAGTTCTGGTCATGACGCCTGAGTGTAATGTTGAACAGGCTCTTACTGCTGTTGACCTTCTACTCTTCCTTAAAGGCACAGTATGTAACGTTATGGTCCTGTCTGACTTTAAAGTTTTGACAAGTTAAACCATTATTTTAAATAGACCCATAAAATCTAACAATTATTCGTGTGTTCCTGGATGAAGGAAGTTGATATCAGATCATATCCCTCCTATGACTGATGACCTCTAAAATAAGTGAGTATCCCTTCCTGGCTTTACTTTCTGTAATTTATGATGCTTTTCCACCATTTCCTATGGTATTTTTAGACTAAATTAAGTTAAAGGATTTAACTCATTACATGCACTTAAAAGTTGTCATGCGAGTTATTTATTTGATGTGTGGTGCAGTTGATTGTAGAGTCTGCAGTTTAATCCTAGTGTGAGTGACTATTTATATATTGTGTGTTGTTCTCTCAAACTTTGGTACACTCTTACAAAAAGGAACTCTAAGCAATATCACATGATGTTGTCAAATATATTATTGGGACTAAGGGGGGCATCCCTTCTATGATTCAGCATCACAAGTCATCTGCTAAAACATATTCAGTCATTTGAGGACAATGATTAGAAAAAGTGTATGTGAGTGTAAGCAAACTGAAGCACGTGAGTTTTGAAACACTGTCTAACCTAACCAAATTCTCTAAGTTTCCGCAAAAAGAAGAGCCGCTGACGAGCTTTCTTAACAACCCGGTCAGTGTTTTTAACCCATTTCAGGTCGTTAGAAAGAGTTAAACCCAGGAACTTGCACTCCTCTACGATCTGCACCTGGGAGTTGTCAATAACAACAGGAGTGTGAGAACTGCTATGACTGAAGTCAAAGACAAGTTCACATGTTTTTGCAGTGTTCAGCTGGAGATTGTTTACTTTACTCCACTGAAAAACATGTTCGATCTCTGCTCTATAAGAAGAATCATCATTGTCACTGATGAGACCGATGATGGTGGTGTCATCAGCATATTTGATGATCAAGTTTGAGTCAGAGGAGGACACACAATCGTGAGTGTACAAAGTAAAAAGCAGAGGACTCAAAATACATCCCTGAGGAGAACCAGTGCTCACAGAAACAACATCAGAAAAACAGTCATTGATTTTTACACTCTGAGATCTGTCAGTTAAAAAGCTAAAAATCCATTTACACATGGCAACATTCAGACCAAGGGACATTAGTTTTTCAACCAATATGCTTGGGACAAGACAATTAAAAGCAGAGCTATAATCAATGAACAGCATTCTCGCGACAGATTTACTAATGTCCAAATGGGTGTAGACAGAGTTCAGAGCAAAGGAGATGGCATCCTCCACACTCCTGTTCTGTCTGTAAGCAAACTGGAGCGGGTCAACACTCACAGGGATCTGGCTCTTAATGAAGTCCAGCACAAGCCGCTCAAAAGTCTTCATAAGAACAGACGTGAGGGCCACAGGGCGGTAGTCATTGAGACATGTCACTGGAGACTTCTTAGGAACTGGAATAATGGTGGACCTTTTAAAGCTCACCGGCACCGTACAGCTCCTGAGTGACAAGTTAAAAATGTCCGTTAAAACAGGGGCAAGTTGCTCGGAGCACAGTTTCAGGACGCGGGGAGGAATGCAGTCTGGGCCTGCGGCTTTCCGAGCTGTGGTCCTGGACAAGACCCGCCGTACTTCCTCCTGAGTCACTGTGAAGGCACCCTGACATTCGGGGAAGACAAAAGGCAGGGGATCAGCAGATTCAAAGCGGCAGTAAAAGTCGTTGAGCTCGTTTGGCAGAGTTTGGCCAGCAGCAATTTTCCCTGCACTTGGTTTGACTAATGACTGATGTGTCTGTATTATGCAAAACATGGAGTTTGAGTATGTATTCTCAGTATCCTCGTGTGGTAGTCCGTAAACAGCCGTCACTTTATTACCTTGTAAATGTCGATAGTTTGTTTGAGCTTTATGAGGCTGTAAGACTAGTCCCCCACCCTGCACATGTGCTGCCTGTAATGCAACTGACGACCACAGCACTTGGCACAGGGTTCACTGCCAGCAGAAGTACCAATTCTGTCGTACCACCTAATTAGCAGTTGGAAATGGGAAGAATGTAGTATAAAAGCATGTATTTTCTACCAAATTTAAATTATACACAATCATGAGCAATAGGCAGCCTTAAATAAAGGTCTTAAATCAACACTGTAAGTTTCTGGAGGTTGGCACATATTGTGCTGGATTATAGCCAAAGAAACTGCATCGCCATGGAAACAAGCAGGAGTGTGGAAGGTTTGAATTAGGATGAATTAGGACTGGGCGATATAACCGAGTTCGTATAATTTTTAGGGTATGAAATTGAAATACCGTGATAGCATGTGTGTGTACGCACGAGCTGGAGATGTTTACCTTTTGGTCTGAGCGTGTGGCAAATTGGCGGCTGTGATGCCAGCTCCTAATGGCCCTTTCTCAAGATGTGTAATATTTCTGACAATAGGTGTCACAGTAACTGGTGTTGGCAGTAACCTCCAAAAAGTGCATTGATAGTAATGTAATGTTTTCGTTCAGCTTTCTCTGTGGGTTAGCTGCTGTGGCCAGATGCATTAAAGCTGGTGTACCTAATTTTTTATGACAGACATTTTCTGAACACATCAGACCACAAACCGTGGTCTCCACACTGAGAGCTGATTGGCTGAGTGAGGGTGGTCCTAACTTCTCTGTCTGGGAAGCTGATCTAAAGATGTGACAGTGACCAAATATACATGAGGGGATTGAGCCAAACAGTTTTGAGAGTGAATAGATTGATTTATTTATTTACTTTTTTATTTACTTCATAGTGCAGTTTTGAAGATTATTCCCTGTGCTATTTATAATGTGAATTGTATTGTTATCCTGATATTTCCTTCTCATATCATGATATAATTTTTTGGCCATATCGCCTAGGTCTAGGATACATTTAATCCATTGATTTTTTTTCAAATGCATTGTATGAATCATCTAAAAGCACCTAAACAGCATAAGCAACATTAAATATTCTGCAAACATAAAAATAGATCAAAATACATAATGTAATCCCCATTGAAATATTATGTGAAAGTTGCACTAAGATCCTTTTCTAAAATCCCAGAGATAATGTGACCTATGGTCTGTGAGGTTGAAAGCTGTGTGCTTCAGAAACATGTGTGAGTGCAGACAGACTCAGCTGCTGGAGGCGGCTGACCCACTTCTGTGCAGTCTGGAGGCTTTCTGTGGGCGTGAACAATCCATCTGAGCACAACTCACTGAGCGTGCACAGAAATAAATATGATTAGATTTATTATACTCTGAACTTTACTCCAACAACTGTATGTAGATAAAAGTCTGAGTCAGCTCAATCACAGGTGAGATGAGCATAATGGCTCAGCTGTAATGTCAATAACTGTTGGTTTGCTGGATGATATTTTGGGCTGAAACCATAAATTGAACTGATGACATTTATCTAGCGGTAACTTTATTTACCATTATTTTAACATAAACGGTCATGTAAATAATCTAAAAGGAAAACCAAAATTGTGATCACATTTAATTTGTTTCTGTGTCAGAGAAAATATGTTTTGACATCTCCACCATATAAACATGAAGTAATAGCACCAGTCACAAACCACATCTGTCATGTGTACAACACCACAATAGCCTTGTATCATTTAGAACAAACGATAAAACATCTATTACCGCCAATGTTTTAGTATTAGACTTTACAACTGAACTTAACTTTACACTACTGAGGTTTGAACACATTGCTTTCTAGTCTTCACATGAGATTTTAATATTTACAGGACCTTTCCACTGTCCACTAATGTGAAATGATTGAAACTGCCTTAATGCTGATCGCTGCTGTTGTTGTTGTTGTTTTTGAGCAGATAGTGTGAGGGATGCAGTCGGGAGGAAGGTGAAGCTGTCACTGAGGCGGAGGGTCAAATTGGAGATCAAAGGCGACAAGACGGAAAACCGGGTCCTGGTGAGTCTGAAGCAACTTCATACAGACTTCATTACAGAGAATAATTCACTTCTACACGTTTCCCCTCCATCTGCGTCCCTCGTCAGCACATCAAAGCTCTTGGCCTGAGTAACCTGTCACACATTGGAATATTTAACGGATGTAGACGTCAACTACAACAAGTGTACGCTGCACACAGTAAACTCTGGATATGAGCATACGTAAAACATTAATATATACAGAAAATATGTTTACGCTTCTGATTTTTGTTCTGTTTATGGGATTTTGTGTTGTATACTTTATTTGTCATGATTTCTGTCTGTCTGTTTGCTATAGATATATTTACTTAGAATGTTTATGATTTAATGAGCAGCTCTTGGCATAATGGAGTGTTGTACAAGTCACAAATTTGGCTAAGGCCAGGCTACACCTACTGCGCAAGACCGGAAGAAACAGCACAAAATGCGTCACTTACCCTAATGTCCGAGACGTCCATGGGGCGAGCACGCACCAATGAGCCCAAACCATTGATTTGCATTTACAGTAGTTGTTCTGGAAACAATGGTTGCAGGCATAAGGCCACTGCATTACATGGAGGCAGGAAAATTGTAGCCTGACTCTCGCCAGACCTTTGTAGTTCCACCATTCTCCACCAGAGGAGTTTCACCGAGCTCCCCACAAGGGTCTGGGATCGAGGCCAATGCAAATTCCTTCAAGATAGCAGTATAGAATGAACGAATCCGGATCGCCGGTGTAACGTCGGTTTGCACCGCCTTCTCAGAATCCGCTGCCTCTGCTGTTTATGATGTAATGCAAACCTGCAACTGTTGGGGCCCTAATTACTTGAATGATAAAACAACTGGTCAGGATTGTTTTGTAGTTTAGTCTCAATGCTTTGATAAGCCCCCCTACATGTAAACCTGTACCAGACTGGTCAGGCCGGTTTGAAAATCCCTCTGAATAGTGTGTATGTGTGTTCCTAACGTACGTTGTATTATTATGCTTTGTAAACATTCTCATTGTTTTGCCCCACATGTAGACTGGGCGAGAGTGATCTGACCAGTTTCGGGGGAAAGTCTGGTTAAGTTTGGTGGTTTAGCGTTGTCCATTTTCTCTTGTAAACGTGATGAGTGTGTGAGTCAAACTGATGAGAACTACATGCTCTGCAGGCAGTCTGGCATGCATTATAGATGAATTGTCCTGGTCACTTCTGGATTAAAACACAGCGTGGCTCCCTAAAAAGAAAAATAATAAGTATTACTTTTTTGTGACCTGAATATCAGAAGCTAGAAAATGGTAAACTATTTTTAATGGTAGTTTAGATACTGACTGGTTTGTGTATGTAAACTACACAACAGTACGGCACGGGGGCTGTGGATAGCACTCTCGCTTCTCAGCAAGAAGGTCCAGGGTTCGAATCCTGGTCGGAACAGAGCCTTTCTGAGTGGAGTTTGCATGTTCTCCCCGTGTTTGCGTAGGTTTCCTCCGGGTACTCTGGTTTCCCCTACCACAAAAAACATGTACCATAGGTCTGGCATGCGCCTCCTGTACTGGCGACCCCGCTCCCTTCTCTGTGTGGAGTGAGAGACAAATGCCCACAATTGTAAACCGCTTTGTGACTCTGGTCTGTGAAAGACGGTATAAGAATAAAGAATACTTACTTACAGTACACACATTATTAAAACCTAGATTACACATTGTGGACAGGATCTTAATAAATAACTGTCTATCAAATGTAGCAGTGGGCAAGTTGCTGTAAAGATGGAGTACCTTTTTGTTTGCTTTTGTTTGCTTGGTAATTACTTTCTTGTCCCAACAGGAAAAGTTTTAAGTTGAATTTTATGAAAAATTCAGCCCACAACAACTTTATCTCAATAGAAATGAGATGAGGGCTGGTATTCTTTATTTCCACTGAAAATGCTGATGTAAGGCAAGGCAAGTTATTTGTATAGCACAATTCAGCAATACAACAATACAGCCTGATGCAAGATGTGACAGAAGCCAGAAATACCTTCATGTGAAAACTAGCGATAGAACTGTTTTGAGAGTAAGAGTGAAGTTGGGTGCATGGGTTTTATTAAGTTTTGTAGTTTCAAAAACGTTATTATACATGCTCCTTTATGTCAGCTGATCCAGGGCTGAAACTTACAAGTACAATAACTCATGGCATGTCTTATTATAAACAATTATTGACTGATAGGCAGTGTAGTATGTTGAATATGTGAATCTGATAAGACTCTTCTACAATGTGGAGGCTTGGGACACAGGAACACAGTGTACACTCACAAACCAGTGGCCGAACAATGCAGAGCAGTGGGAGTTGGTGCTGGGAAGAGGAATTCCAGTGGAGTGATCTTTTCTGCTATTTCATGCAGAGTTTGTGTCAACGCTCCACTTGACCACACCGAACAAATGCTCCTCTGTCAACTGCTGTGTGGAGAAACCCATTATGACGAAAGTAGCTGCAAGTAAAACCACGATTTTCTGGAAGAGATGGCAATGTTAAAGGTCATAAAAAGCCTGCGAGATAGGATATCAACAATATTATGTTAAATTAGTTGAGTCACTTATATCGAGTTTGCTTCCTCTTGTTAGTTTTTGGCTTTAAACAGTTACTGCTGTCACATTAAAGCTGGGGTACCTAACTTTCAAATCACAGCAATATAACTATTAATCAAATCCATCCAAGAAGTTACCTGTAATAAACACACTTTAATTTTGTCAGTTAGTGTTTGTGTTAATTATTGTGTCAGCCCAAAGCCTCATGGCTGCAGGGTTCTTTCTTACAAGTGTAGAAATTCTAAAATGTTTCAAACAAAGAGTTTACAACATCACAATGATCTGATTTGTTCACATTGTTTTCTTTTTAAAGACAAAAGTTATTATCCAAGAAACCTAAACGTTGGATACCCCAGCTGTAATGTATAAATAGTAAAGATTTAGTCTCTAGATCCGTCAGTGAAGTCTGACAGACACAGTCTCTCTATTTTCTTCTTTCACTCTTAACCCTTTTCCCGCCAAGCGTTTGCTCTTTGACTTTAGAGCTATAGCCTCAGGCTCCTCTTCTGCGCTGAGACTTCACTGAGACCTCTGCTGCTTTGAAGAACCGCACTATTAACATCCTCCCATCACACAGTAGAAGAGGAAAGGATTTGTTTTATTCATCAGAATTCATCAGAACTCATCAAAATTCATCAAAATTCTTCTAGAACGAGAATTGAAACATAATAAATAAAATCATAGGAGAATGTTGTCCATGGAAAGGACTATTTTATTGTCTTTACTCTTTTAATGTCTTACGCTTACATAGGCCTACATCTTTTTAGAATCAAGTTTGATTCTAGCACAGAGAACACAAAATAAAGCTTTATATTACTTGGAACCTATTTTAATCTTGATGGTCATCAGACAAAGGCGCATATTTATATTTACACTGAAACCTGTGGTAATATTTTGGTCCATTGTATTAAGTTTTTCTAGTTCTGTTTGTGAGACTGCACATCTGTTGACTGTGTTTTCATTGTAGCTTGTTGTTTTGGGAGTAGGAAAGTGCATTGTTTCAAAGACCAAACACTCGCCCAGCTCTCAGATGGTCAAACCTAAGGACGAGATAAGTCTATTCTTTAATTTTGTTGCTTTTTTGTTCATCCGGTTTTCAGTCTGTGAGACCAGAACCTCAGATAACCAGACTTTGTAGTTTGAGATGTTTTTGAGATGTCTTCTTTCATCCATGATTCGCAACAAAATAGTTCTATTTTGGACATTTCACCCGCATGTTCCATGTTTGTGACGATAAGCAAGCCTTTGTTGCAGATTGCTTTTGATCATATCTTTTTTCTATGCAGTGTTTTCATGAATTATAAAATTCACGTTCTGTATTATAATTGTGACAATCTGATAATAAAATAAAAACATTCATGCTTACTGGTAGAATTGGTTGAGGCAAGTAATTCAACAATTGTATGTGAATACGGTTATACATTCTATGCAAAGAAGCATCCACTACTACAGCATCACTGATTGTATTCCAGATTATTCATGATGGTTCAAGATTCTCAGTCAAGATTAAATGACCACAAAATTATTCAGTTTCCCTTGCTATGTCCTAAATTTATGGCTATCTAAGGCTTACCTGGTCAAATTTTATGATTGCAAATTGACTACCAGGAGATTTCCAGCTCCAGCTCTGTTCCCGCCCACAATCATTCATCTTCATTACCCCATAGGTCAGGGTCATTGTCACTCATGGTCTCTCTAATAGAATTGACCGATGACTGTCATTTATTTCCTTCATATTTTACCATTAAACTCAAAATATGCCTAATCAGATGCATGTTAAATCCTTTTATTGATCATATAATTTGTGAATTAGCCATGTATGTTCAGTGGGAATGGCTTTCCTATGTGTTCACTTTTGATTGAGTTGGGGTTTTATGATCAGACACATCCATTATTGATTGCTGTTAATGACATTTGCTATTACAAAATGTAAGAAAATAAATACACCGACTGTTGTGGAGCTTTTATGTGGCTGAATGTGATGCTCTGATTCCGTGAGGGACAGTTGCCAAGACACAAGCAGCAATTTTACAGTGAAATGACCACCGTGACTTTAGGGCAGTGCTGTCGTATGCTCGTGCTGCTTGGGTGGCTTTCATCTTACTGCAGTTAATGGTGTGGCACAGTTTTTCTATTATGGCCATATGCAAACCCCTGCCTTTTTCTGAGATTTAAATCATGTAACCTTTTTTAATGTGCAATTGCTTCATGCATGTATTGCTTTATGCATGTATTGCATGTAAGGCAGGGGAAGTTTATTTGTATAGCACAATTCATACACAAGGAAAATCAAAGTGCTGAACAAAACAAGATAGAAACAATCACACAACAGTAATAATAACAGTACATTAAAATGATAGATACAAATATAAAATCCTTCAATAAGCACCTCTATTTTTAACCTGGATTTCAACATTGTCAGAGAAGAGGCCTTTTTCACATTTTCAGAAAGATTGTTCCAG